TCTGAGCCTCTTGATTAGCCTGATTCTGTAGTTACCTACCATTTTAAATGTGCAAATTAGTGACTCTTGAATATCTCCCACCCATACCCCACACCCCCTGCACACTTTCAAGACAAGTTTCTCTGTGTAGCTCTGTTGGTCCGGGAACTTGTTCTGTAGATCAAGCTGGTCTAGAAACTCAGAGATCCACCTACCTCTGCCTCTTGAGTGTTGCGATTAAAGGCGTGCACCACCACTGCCAAGAGTCTGTACATCAGAGTTGTCTTTCATGAATTGAAATATGAGTGATTTTATTATCAGCTGTATATTAGTCTGTCGTTGTCGATGGGAGTGCAGTCTTAAAATTCTGTGTGTTTTTTAGAGAGGGTATTTTCCTGCATGTCCCGACTTCTTCCTTGTGTGGCATGTCTCTTTCAGTCTTTTGCCCCTGCTTGCTTGTTTGAGGCAGGGTCTCATGTGGACCAGGCTGGCTTTGAACTTCTGGCCATTCTTCTGTGGTCACAGATGTGTATCACCACACCTAGCAATCTCTGACTTATTTTTTTATCCTTAATGTTAGTGGAGAGGAGTCTTAAAAAGATACTGATCTGTATGCTTGCTTGTCACGTGTAGAATTTGTCATTGGTGGTGCAACTACTGATTCTGTGAGTGTTACCGAGAATAGACAGTCCATCTCGTTTGCCATGACATCTTCAGAACTGTTGACAAGAAAACTTAGCTTGGTCATTTGGGTGCCTGTTTGTTTTTCTTTTTTGGTTTTCCAAGATAGGTTTCTCTGTGTAACCCTGTCTGTCTTGAAACTCTGTAGACCAGGCTGGCCTTGAACTTGGAGATCACCCTCCTTTTGCTTCCTGGGTGCTGTAATTAGCAACACTACCTCAGAGAGATCCTCTTTTTTTCTTAGATAGATCCTATCTGTCTGTCTGTCTGTCTGTCTGTCTATCTATCTATCTATCTATCTATCTATCTATCTATCTATCTATCTGTTGTTCTGTCTGCATGTATACCTTTATGCCAGAAGAGGACACCAGATCTCATTACAGATGGTTGTGATCCACCATGTGGTTGCTGGGAATTGAACCCAGGACCTCTGGAAAAGCAGTCAGTGTTCTTAATCTCTGAGATCTCCAGCCCCCTAAGAGATACTTTCTTTGGATTTTTGCTAACAGAAGGATAGTTTCTACAGAGGGATGGTTTACACAGCACAGTTAGAAGTTTCTTTTCTATCTGTAGGTCTAAAAAATGTGAAGTAGGCAAATGGATCGTCCCTAGGTGAAGGAAGGCACATGCCGTCAAGCCTTATGTCCTGAGTTCAATTCCTGGGACCTACGTGGTGGAAGGAGAGAATCATCTCCTACAAATTACTCTCTGCACTCCCTCAGTCATGTGAGCATGTGCACACACAGATCTGGCCCATGGAATCCCAGTGTGTTGGTCATGCCTGTGGTCCCCGTTTGGGAGGTTAAGGTAGGAGGGTTGTGAATTTGAGGTCTGCCTGCGCTACAAGTAAGACCTTGTCAAAAAGAAAAGAAAAAAAAGGTAAGCTTAGAGATTGTTAAAAGTTTATGGAGGGCTAGCTAAACAGAGATGCACTGCCATGGGTCCTTCTTACTAAGTATGTTCTCAGTCTAATGGTCCAGGCAAGCTCCGGATTTGTGTGGCGACTTTTGAAGTTTATTAAATAAGTTAGTCGCTCAGAGGAGGCTGTTTTCCCAGTGGGAAAGTGACAGACAGTCTTACTGAAGAATAGATGGTTGTTTCTATCTGAAGCCCAGCTGTGGCCTCAGTAGTGCTAGAAGGTGGCTAAGCCACGGATGTTCATCTGCCCCCTGCACAGTGGTTTATGCTGTCATTTATTCTTTCAGCCTTGTTGGGGCAAAAATGAAGTAGTCACAGCCATGGAATCCTTTGGCATCCCTTTGGGATATAGCTGTCAGCAGCTTCATTCTCCTGAACTTCTCTTTGTCCTTGACTGAGAAATGCCCCTTCCTGCCTGATGAAGGGAATGTGTGTTTTGAAGGCTCCGTGCCCATAGACAGTGCTTGGAAATTAAGGGTTGCCCTCTGTAAGTTCATGTGGCTCTCTGTACGTTATTTGCGTGCGGTGGGGGGAGCATGACTTTTTGGGAGTATTAGACATTTGTTTCACGCTTTGGTTCCAGCTGGGTCACCACGTGACTGAGTTAAGCTTTCTGTTGCCAAGGGTGACTGTCAAGTTTATGACAGTAAGCTCCCTGCAGGCGAGGAGATCTTTCTGATTTCCACAGACTTAGTTATGAAAGACACTGCGCTTTCACGACATTGCAATGCGCTGACCTGTGGCGATGAGATGTGTCTTAAATCCTATGACTCTTTCCGTGGTTGCCACAGAAAAGCATGACTGAGATTTACAGTGTTATTCTTCCCCTTGTTAATTCTCTGAATTTTCTTTCTTTGCTCTTCCTCCTCCTCTTCTTTTAACAAGACTGATTATTTTTTACCAAATGTGGAGCGACTAGAAAGGATTTTAAACCATCATACTCTTGAATTTAGTAACCTGTAGGCCAAGGCTGCTTGTTTGTTTCCTGGCCACCCAGACCCAAAATAATCACACGGAAACTATATTATTTGCAATACCGCTTGGCCAGTAGTTTAAGCTAGGCACTGGCATCTGTATTGTAAAGGATGGTTTCCCTCTCTAAGTTCTGAGAGCAAAGTATGTCTTTTCCTTGCACACAGTGCGTTTTTTTTCTATCCACTTATGTGTGGCAGTCAGAGGGCACCTGAGTAAAGGTGGTTCTTACTAGAACACAGGTGGTTAGGCTTGGTGGCAAGTGCCTTTACCCTCTGAGCCACCTTGACACCCTGTTTTTGCACATATTTTTTATTGCTGGTATAATATACTATTGTGTTTTAGATAGACCTCAAGTATATTGTCTTTTGTTCACAATCCCCGGGTGTTTAGTGAGTTCTGTTGGTAAATTGCCTAGCAAGTCTATAAAACCTCTTTCTTTCAGACAGTAGTGGAAGTGTTAGTTAAATGCCTGGGTGAACTCCTTAAACATGTCCGCTACACACCAGCAGCGCACTGCAGAGCTGGACCAGTGATGTAACTGTGAAACAGACGGTCTGCAAACCCCACTGTTCCCGCGCAAATCTTCAGTCCACTCCGCACACAGCATGGAGTTAGGGGTGTAGTGGGTATTTGAAGAACTTGAAGCTAGGGTTAACTCTCTAGTCCAGGTCGTCCTGGTCAGAGTGTCTGTCCCATGAGAAGGCAGGCGGGCGTAGTGGACAGTAGAGTCCCCTCGTGTGCTTGTCAGTAGTTTTACCTTTTCCTCGGGTGCCCTCTGTGTGGCAAAGATGAAAGAAGAAATGAGGACCACATAAGAAGTTTGGTCAACAGACTTGACCTAATTGACTGTTTTCGACTCCTCCATCCAACAACAGCAAAACACGCATTGTTCAAAGCACTCGGAGCGTTTGCAGTGCTCTGAACCTTAAAGAGTGAAAGGAGAGATTTTGTTTTTAGTCAAATCATCTTACTATTTGTAGCAACAGGTTCGTGGATTAGTACATCCACATAACAGAATACTGTGCAGTGAGAAGGGATGGACTTTGGGTCGCCTTTAACAGTATGGACGAGATTAACTTTATGTTAATATGAATAAACGGAGACAACTCGGCACTTTTATTCTGTGCTTCCGTTTTGACTTTGGGATACATATTAATCCATCCCAACCAGCACTGATGGCAGAAGAGTGACACCTAGGGTGGCGGGGCAGGGTGACAGGGGGTTGTGACGGCAGAAATGGCAGTCCATACACCTGCAGTCTGGCTCAGCACTCAGTGAGTTCAGAGTCTACCTGGTCTGTGTGGTGAGACCCTGTTTCTAAAAGGGTAGGTGGTGTGGGAGGCATGAGGAAACTGTTAGAGGTAATATATTATCTCAACTGTGATGGTTTCACCGTGTGTGGGGTGTGTGTGGTGTGAAAACTTAACAATTTCTACATTTTTAAGATATAGCATAGATGTTCAAAAAATTCTGAGATTGCCATGTAATAACAACATGTATGAACATTCAGATGACCTGTGTGCTGTGTTGGAACAATAGAAAGACCATACTGATTTTTGATTCTGTACATAACCATAGAAAGTTTTAGAAATAGATCTAGCATAGTTTCAATGCAATGCCCATCAAACTTCCAGCAAAATTCTTCGAAGACCCTGAGAGAACAGTAGTCAGCTTCATATGGAAAAGCAAAAAACCCAGGATAGCCAAAACCTGTACAATTTAAAAAAACTTCTGGAGGCATCACAATCCCTGACTTCAAACTCTACTACAGAGCTACAGTACTGAAAACAGGTATTGACATAAGACCCAAGACAGGACCAATGGAACCGAGTAGAAGACCCAGATATTAATCCACACACCTTTGAACACCTGCTAATTGGCTTTCTCTGGTTTTCCGCCAGAAGCATGTTGTCGGTGTTGTATGCCTTTGTAGGCATCAGACACATAGTTTGCACTCAGTGGCTCCCACCATGCATGTTTACACACATGTCCTGTATGTCTTTGGTCATTAGCACCTAGTGGGTACCTTCAAGGTATACGTGTTGGTTGAGTCATGTAATACAGAAGAAACAGCAGCCAATGAGAGAAGCAGAGCGGTGCCTGCTGGCTCCTCAGTAGGTGCTTGATAGAATCTCAGCACTTTCATGCTTTTTAAAATCATGGTAATTAACACCGTCAAGGGGCGCAGGGACAAGAGACGAAAGCAAGAGAGACCATACATTTACGGTTTTCTTTTCAAGTATGTCTTTTGCTGTGGTTAGAGTAGAAGTGTAGAAAATCTACTGTCTCTATGACATGGTTTTAAACTAATACTAAAATTATATAGGGGGTCAATTCATCATGTCATAGAAAGGAGGTTGTGAGAGGAGTCAAGGGTCCGCTGGTTCAGGGTGAGAGGTAGCCTGTGGGTTTTCACACCCTTGCTCATCTGTCACCTTACTTTCTAGGTCCGGACTCTATTTGTCAGTGGTCTGCCCCTGGACATCAAACCCCGGGAGCTCTACCTGCTCTTCAGACCATTCAAGGTACTTTATGAGTGTTTTGTTTTGGCCTTTAAAGCGAGGAGAATGTTGGAGGAAGTGCCCTATAATAGTTTTATTTAAAGATGTTAATAAACAAAAGAAAGTTTAGATCAGAGTTCTAATATACAATTTCTTTGAGACGATGGTCTAACATTGTCCTTTGGTCTCTGGCAGTGAATTCAGAATGACTCTTTTCTCACTGCTGTGGAGAATCACCAGCCCCAGCATTCTCTGGTCCATGTCGATAGCTTTATTAACCTTCAGTTAGAGGCATAGTTACCTCTTAGTTTACCCCTAAGAGCAGAGTGTAAGAGTTCTGCGGTGGGTCAGGAGATAGGCCAGCTCTCTAGTAGAGCACTTGCCTAATGTATAAGGCCCAGGGCTTGATTTTTTTTTTCTCCCAGCATCACACCCTCCCTAAAAAGGTATAAATAACTTAGTACGTATTTATAGTTGAAATGCAGCATTATGATTTGAGCCCTGTTGGCAGGTGTTGCTTTATTGGCTGGCATAGTGCTTTAGACAGTTCTATATGGATGTGAGTAAGTCACACCAAAAGCCATAAATGTTCAACAAAACCAAATGTTGTAGGCTAACTTTGTGGAACTGAAGGGAAACTGGTAATTAATGAACTGTGTGGTAGAGTTTCCTGTTGCTCCTATGGAAGTGAGCTCGCCTTAGAGAGACCAAATAGTGCTGGATCGAAACTTTAACAGTGACCTTAACCTTGCCTGAAAGTTGGCTCAAACTGAAGTATCTATTCTGTCAAGAAACCTTGAAAATTGGCCTTTGGAGGCTATAATGTGGTCTGGAAGGCATCATGAATTCAGAACCTGTGAGTTAAGGGAGGTTTTGTTAGCAGTAGGAAGGCTACCGAAGCTTGGTGGGGCTGTTTAAGAGATGGGGGTTTCTGATTCAAGACCAACCTGTATGGAGAAGGACAATTGAGAGATAGGATTCAGCTTGGTAAGGATGTGGCAAAAGAAAACACAAGGACTGGGAAGGAGAAAGGCTCAGGCAACAGGTAGACACAGCCACAGAGATGCGAGAGGAGTTGATGTGTGAGCGTGGAAAGATAGCCGTTCCCATGGTGCATCAGTAGCGGCGACAGCAGAGAAACCATTTGATTCCTGTAGTGACTTGAGTGAGCATGGTGTGACCCTGCTGGTACTGTTTTACATGAATGGAATACCATTTGTTATTTTATATCTGGGGCCTTCAAGGTTTTAAATCTCCGGGATTTCTAAGAGAAAGTGCCCCTTGTACAGTAGGCAGAGGCAGCACCGAAGTAACTCAGTGTTCTGCTGGGAAGAGGTGAGGATGAACCAGTCCCAGCACCCTGCCCAGAAACCCAAACCTTGAAGTCAGGTCTTCGTAGTCAGAACATCCCTAGCAACCCTCTCTTGATTTCAGCCCAGCACAGCTGACCCTGGTCTGCAAATCTGTCCCTACGCTGATATTTGTAGCGGTTGTTCATGTCAGTTGGTGTATTTTCCCCTTCTGTCACCTGTCAGTGTTGTTGGTATTTCCGGAAATAAGCACAAGAGAAATGAACTAGAGAAAGACAGGAATGCCCTCAGCTTCTGCGGATGAGGGGAATAGAAACAGCGAGGCATTTCATGTTCTCATCCAATTCCACTATGAAAAGCGGCTGTTTCAGTAAGCAAGCAGAGCTCAGAGTGCCGTATGTCTCCTGCCCAGCCCTTCCTGGTAGTTTTCATAGGGTTATCTGGTTTTGTTTTGTTTTGCAATATTGGGGGCTGAATCTAGGGCTTTTATGTATGCTGAGCAAGCACTCTATACTGAACTACTCACGCTGCCGTGTGTGTCTTATGTCCGTGTCTGTAACGTGTGTCCCTGGCCAACTTTGGAGGCATTGAGAAGGGCAACATAGTTGATTACTTTACTTGAGGAAGATGGAATTGTAATGCTCCCTTCTTCATTCTAAACTTGCTCTTTATTTTTCAGGGTTATGAGGGTTCTCTTATAAAACTCACATCTAAACAGGTAAGAATTTAGAAACTTACAAAAATGATTACCTTTTGCTAATGAAGCCTAATAAGTATTCTTTTGTTTCAGTGAGGATTTGTCCTATCTGGCAAGTTGGCACCTATCTGGTGAAGTTGATTGGGAATTAGTATAGGAAAATAGTGTATAATTCCACAGTCTGTAGATTAGAAGTTTTGAGATTCAGAAGGTACAGTCATAGTGCCTCCAGCAGAGTTACAGTAAAACTAACTTGTTTCTTCAGTAAACATATCATCTAAATTCTCTTAGTCATAATTTTTTGAGGTTTATTATTTGTTTTACAGATAGGCAGACAGACAGACGGTTTTACCTGCCCATAGAGGCCAGAAGAGGGATGAGATGAGTCCCTGTAACTGGAGTTGCCTACAGTTGTGAGCCGTAATGTTGGTACTGAGAATCAAACCCCCAGGAAGAGCAGTCAGAGCTCTTAGCCACTGACCTACCTCTCCAGCTCTACGCACAGTTATTGAGTAGTCCTCTTCATGGGCTATTTGTAGTTTATAGACGTATTATCTGATGTCCACGGAACCCGTAAAAGCACAGAGGAACCAGCAGCAGGTGTAGAATGAAGAGGTGATGGCCGATGGCCCTGGGGTTCTTATTTCTCAGAGGTTGGCTAAACACTTCTTACCTTTGAAGCTGAACACTTCCAAGTCCCCTAACTTCTGCTGTATCAGAAATGAACTAAATTGCAGGCACCAACAATTGAAGATTTAAAGGGAGGGACCCATTTCTCTGAGCAGTGTCCTTCCGTGCCCGAGTAAATTGGAGCTGTTTGGAAAGGCATGGCTTTGTCTCTGGTGGCAAGGTTCATTTGGTAGTTTCGGTTGCGCAGTGCGAACACAGGGATGTTTACCGTTGTGTCATTATATTCCTTGCACTTACAGTGAACCAAAGGGTGATTCGGTTTCTCTTTGCATTTTAAAAGACGAAGAAGCTGAGGTACAGTGAATTTGATTTAGGAAACTAGAGTCTCTCCAACCCAGGTTCTCCTCTGTCCCCTGATCACTGCTGCTCACACCTTCCAACCACCTCTGAGTTTTGTTTTTTTCTTTTTTACAAAAGCGATTCTCTAAATTCTTGGCTGTTTCCTTGAAGAACTGCCCTCACCATCCCTTTGATTCACTTGAGAAATTTGGTTAAGCCACTAGGTCCTGATTCTTTGGGATTGGCTTTCTTATTTCTACCCATTGCCTGTGGTCATTTCTTTATCTTAGCTCCTCAGTTAGACACCACCCTTGACCTAGAAAACAGGTGGCCCGTGATTTCTGTTTTCTTTTTCTTGATGTTTTTCTCTTTCTCCCTCAGCCTGTAGGTTTTGTCAGTTTCGACAGTCGCTCAGAAGCAGAGGCTGCAAAGAACGCTTTGAACGTAAGTGTGCACTGCTCTGATTGCAAGTGTGCATCGTGCTGATTGTACGTGTGCACTGCTCTGATTGTATGCATTTTTGTAGGCAGTGGCAAACAGTAGAATCCCTGTAGATTAGAAGTCCTGTGTGTTACTGGAGGTCTCAGTGTCAAAGCCTGGGCTGTAGCAGCCCTAACAAGTTTCATGGACTTCTTGTCCCCCACATGCTACTAAAGAGACAAGTAATAGTGAAACAGAGGCTTAGTCAATGTTCTGTTGCTGTGAAGAGACACCACGGCCAGCGACTCTTCAAAGGCATTTAGTGGCTGGGCTTAGGGGTTTCATTATCACCTTTTGGGGTACATGGTGGGATGAGAGCTACCTATATCCTGAATTGCAGGCAGCAGGTAGAGAGACTGGGACTGGTGTGGGCTTCTGAAACCTCAAAGCCCAACCCCTAGTGACACACTTCCTCCAAAGGCCACATCTCTTAATCCTTCTAATCCTTTAAAAGAGTTCCATGCCCTGGTGACTGAGCACTCAGTTACTGAGTCCTAATGAGGGCCATTCTCATTGTTGATGATTTCCTTCATGGCTTAAGGTTTTCTTTACTTCCCACAAATGTGAAGCTTAGCTGGCGGGATCCTGCCCCAGGTCTTGCTTTTCAATTTCTCCCACTTAGCTTCAGGCTTTTCTTTAACCCTTTTCTCTCCTCTAGCACTGAACTTAGGCCCATTAATTACACTTCGTGGTGCTCCTTTTCTCCTCAAACTACACATTTTGCTAACATACCCACAGAATGGTCTCTAGGCCATTCTTCACCTTTGAAACCCCTTGAGCTGGGCCCCCACAGTTCAAGCCACTCTCAGCACTATCTTTCATGCTCCTAGTAGGGTGGTTGATTAACATTCAGCTATTTGGGTTTTTTGTTTTATTTTTGTTGTTGTAGGTTTTTTGTAATCCAAAGTAATACCCCAGTCCTAGTTATGAGAAACATGACTGTGGCAACTCTTATTTATTTTAAAAAAAAAACATTAATTGTGGGCTTGCGTACAGTTTCAGAGGATTAATTCATTATCCTTAGTGGTAAGCATGGCATGCTGGGAAGCAGCTGAGAGAGAGTTCTACATCCTGACACAGAGAGAGAGTCTGGGTCTCAAAGCCTACCCCCAGCGATATACTTCCTTCTACAATCCCACACATCCTAATCCTTTCAAATAGTGCTGCTCCCTAAACTTTTAGCTATGTGAGCCTGTGGAGACCATTCTTATGCAAACCACCACACACAGAGAGAAGGTTTTGTTCAGTGTAGCCTCACCAGGAAATGGAACAAACACAGAGGACCAACGATCCCCCACCAAACATCATCTTTGGAGTTCTGATATATGCTTTAGTTTTTAGGAACAGTCTGGAAGTGGTGTGCACAACTCAGAAGTCCTGCTAAAGTTGAAGCCCCTCAACCCACTTCTGTGCTCTCATTGTCTTGGTTCCGGGTGGTGTCACAAACCGTCAGCACTCTGCAGTCTCCCTTTGCTGGCACAGAGAACCCTGCCTTTTCTTTCTCATTGTGAGACTTTTGAGAGAAATGCTACTTCCTGGGTCCTTTGTTTCAGTAGTCTGACAGGCAAGGGGCGAGGAGCGGTGCCTGCCTCTTTAGAGTGGTTGCTGGACGATAGCCCTGTTGCTTGTCTCGTGTGCAGGAAGCGCTGGCCTTGATCTCCAGCGTGGCATAAAACCCCAGTATGGGCCAGGTAGTGGTGGCTCATGTTTTTAATCCCAGCACTTGGGAGACAGAGGCAGGCGAATCTCCTAAGTTTCAGGACAGCCAGGACTACATAGAGGGACGCTCTCAAAAAGAAAGAAAAGTTGTATGCTGGAGACTCGAAACTTCTTTAGACCCCAGGGAGCCTTCTGAACTTTGACTCTGTATAATGGTGACACAATCTTGAGAGGATTTTAAAATTTGAAACGAAAATATATTTATCTTGTGTTAAGCACCTGCTGGGATCTTAGGATTCCAGGATCCCCCCCGAGATTGTATAATTTTTCCTGTGTTGAGTTAGTGATCTCCAGTCAGAGATCACTCTGGCCTTCTACAGGACAACGCGTAAAGCAGTTGTTTACTGAGCACCAGCTTTAGACTGTGAAGCACAGTATATTATAAAATATTGTAATGTTATAATTTATGGAGTTTTGTGAAAGAGCGTGTGTCCAGCATGTATAAGGCCCTGACTCAGTTGCCACCTCTACAAAATGTATTTTATAAATTTGCATTTTATATTGATATAAGCAGAAAACTCTCAATATCACTAAACTTTAGCCGAAAACTACCAGTTCTGTTAGGCTGTGTTTTCTTTTATCCTAACCATGCAGACTTAATTTTTCTTTAAAAGGAAGGAATGGCCAGTGTAGCTCTTGGTGCTGGGCCTTATTTCTGGTGCCCCTGCCTCTCTGTCCTGGTTTTGCAGTGATAATCACCTGTAAGCAGGCAGCATTCCTCACTTCCGGGGGTATGGTAGTGGTGTTAATCTTGGTTTTTAACTCATAAACAAAGTTACTGTTTTAATAATGGCAATAGTCAAGCTGTGAACATCCCTTGCCATGCCGAGTAGAACCCAACAAATACCATTTCAGTTTTTGTTGGAGCTCAAGGGTGTTCTATTTGTCCCATGCCAATTAGCTCCAGGACACCGAGCTTTTGCTTCTAGTTTATTAATCTCATTGTGCCTGGCTCTCCCTTCTCCTCTCTGGCAGCAATCCTTGTAGCCGCATCTTGTCCCGTAGTCATAATTGCTTGTGTTAATTGCTAAGAACCTCAGAGAGGGCCAAGTGGTGGTGGCACATTCCTTTAATCCCAGCACTCAGGAGGCAGAGGCAGGCGGATCTCTGTGAGTTTGAAGCCAGGCTGGTCTACAGAGTGAGTTCCAGGACAGCTAGGGCTGTTACACAGAGAAAACCTGTCTCGAAAAACAAAACAAGAGCAACAAAAAGAACCTCAAATAGTAGCAATCTTATTCTGTGGCTCTGTGTGTTTGTGTGTGTGTTGTGTGGCCGGGAGGGAGCGTGGGGGTGTCAATGAGCCTGGGCTTGCTGCTGCTCAGGGTGACTTGTAAATAAATGTCCTGCTCATTTCTTATATGATGTTCTTTGTTGTTGATGGTGCTGGGATTTTTGTTGTTGTTGTTCTTGTTTTATTTTTGTTTTTCTGCTTTTTGAGGCAGGGTTTTTCTTTAGCATTGGCTGTCCTGGAACACATTTCTCTCTGTAGACCAGGCTTGCCTTAAACTCACAGAGATCCTCTTGCCTCTGCCTTCCGAGTGCTGGGATTAAAGGCGCTACTACTGTCCTTCCTTGATGTTTTAAACCCGCATGTGTAGCTTTAGAGCTTTGATCCACTTTAGAAACATCCACAGCAGTACAGTTAGGGGGACAGACCTACAGGGGGAGGAGCGGTTCAGTAAGAATAGTGTGTGGACGGAGCTAGGAGGTGACTCAAAGTCGGACCCTCCATCTTAGTCCAATCTGTTCCATCTTGGCTTCTCGCCAGACTTCTGGGGCCAGTTATAGACTATTGCTTCCCATTGTCCAGGACAAACAGCCGTAGAGTTTGGTCACCCTGTCTGCAGAGAAAGCAGGTCCATCATGGCAGCATACTTAGCATAAAGCTACTGTTCATCTTCCTGAGTGCCGACCCTTGGCCCTTTTCAGGATCATCTTTTGTGATTGATGAGTTAAAAACATGTACAGCTCACAGCTCTTGCAAAACGCTCCTTGTGTCATTTGTTGAGACTCTTTTCAAAGCCTTCCCTCAGATCCCTGGAGAATAGTTAAGTGGTGTAATATTTGGTTTGGTTTCACTGTTGAGAAATGTAAACCTTGATCCAGAAAGTGCCTTGTATAGAATAGTCGACCGTCACATGCCACTTCCGTGTTTGCGGCTTTCCTTGTTACTTTGTCTTGGTTACTGCCTAATTCAGTCATTAGCGCCAGCCTTCCCAGACAGACAGTGGATTGTTACATCCACTGGCTTTTCTGCCACATCCAGCCTGAGCGCCAGTCAGTCGGACAGCGTTTTGGGACCGTGTCCTCGGGTTGCGTTTGGTAGTACTGAACTGTGATCCGAGGTTGTTCATAATCCCCTAGAGTAAAGAAGTATATTTTGCTTTTGTAGGAAAAGCTCCCAAATTCGGCTCTGAACCACTCAGGCCCAGATTTCCCTTTTGATTGCCTGTGGTTCCATAATTCACATGAGTAGGAGCATCTTTCCTGTCTAGCCTGCTTTGCCCGTCACATTTGGATAGTTAGCCCTGTCCACAGAAGTGGATGAGAAAGCTGATCATGACTTGTGGAATGCATTTGTACTTTTGAAAGGTAAAGCGAGGGTAGCCCAGTTAAGTGAGAATTCCAGTTTGGAAATTGTTAGCAGAGGCACACAGGCCTAAGGGTGAAGCCTGTGAGCAGCGTGGGACGCTTGGTCAGGGTCTTTTGAGTGACTGAGCACCTCGCCCTTGCCATCGCTGCTTAATCGGATTCTGGTTTAATAAATGATGATGATGGCAGTTAGCACTTCAGAGCAACCAGGGTGAGTAGGATCTCAGTCTTGGCTCCGTGAAGGAGTTGGAAATGAGTGACCTGACAAGAATGTGAAGTCCTTAACTTACATGCCTTTTATCAGGCGCTTCTCCTCCCCTTATCCTACATGGTTTCTAGAACTGGAGAAGTCTGACAGAATCAAGCTTACCTTTGCTGTTTACGGTCAGTTAAGCTAGTGAGGTAGTCTGTGTACTCCCAGAATGCACTCACTGACCTCCATTGTCTCTGATTGACAGTATGTTTTATCGCAGTTCAGCTAGTGTGGTACTTTGCGTGTTCTCAGAATGTGGTTGATCTGTGTGATCCCTGATTGACAGTTTGTTTTTTGCTTTAAAATAATTCTGTTGGAATAATTCATGCCCCATACATTTCAGTGGCTTTGCTTACGTTTTCATTAAGTATTTTGAAATTATGTTAGCACAAAACCTTGC